ACTTGTAGGGAAAAATGATCTTGTCAATCCTTTCTAGTTAGTGTGTAAGTGAATTTCTCTTTTCAGGTAATGATGAGCATCTTGAAAGGAAGATTCTAGATCCTGAGCGCTTGAGCAAGGTAGAATCAATTTTTGGCAATCTTTCAGAAACCATTAAAAAATTTGGTCCATGGTCTTCTGCATGGGTAGGAGAATCCGGTGGGGCATTCAACAGTGGTGGTCGTAATGTTTCCAACACATTTGTAGATAGCTTTTGGTAATCTTGCTTCTTCCTTACATAATTTTATATTCCTCTTTAGGTGCTGAAACAAGAATTAGAATATTTTGTTTACTTACAAAAAAGTACCATTAAAATTGATCAATGAGTTCTAAAACTTTGGTGACTTACAGGTACTTAGATCAACTTGGAATAGCATCAAGATACAACACTAAGGTTTATTGCAGGCAGACTTTGATTGGAGGAAACTATGGTCTTCTCGATACCACTACTTTCATTCCCAATCCTGACTACTACAGGCAAGTACAAATTGAAAATGTAAAATGAAGAGATCAAGAATAAAATATATATTTGTTTCTCTAAATTGTTGAAGAGTTAAAATAATGTAAAAGTATATTGCTCAACCTATCTAATTTCTATGTCCTGGTGTTGTTTTGAGTAGTGCACTTCTGTGGCATCAGCTAATGGGGAAGACTGTTCTTTCAGCTAGTAGTGATGTTTTTTCACCTTCTTTACGCACTTATGCCCATTGTTCAAAAGGCAGAGTAAGTGCCCTATCATCCTATAGAAGGATATATTATGCAATAGAATTGTTAGAAACATACTCTCATTGGTTAAAATTTATTGAAAGTCACAAATTTTAGTGAATTTCACATCCTATTTAATGAATCTCTTTGTGATTTTATAGTTTTAAATTAATTTTAATCAGTAAGAGTCAGAAAGTATGTTTCTAATATTTATGATTCGTTCATCTATATCTGCTTACCAACTTCCAAATTTTAAGTTGATACAATATCATATAGATAAACTGACGTTTGATATATATAAATTTGATCATTAGCATTATCATTATGCAAAAAGTTCATGAAATTATGCTAGATTGAATTCTAGCTCGATTCATCGGAGAACCAAGTTGTTATTAGCATCCATGAATTGAATGTCGCCATACTTGTTGGATTGGAAGTTCCATACCTGATCCATTAGTATCTTTTATTTAACTTTCAATTTCACTTTTGTCATTCCTATAATTCTCCAGTAATTTCATTATGCAGGATGGTATAACATTACTGCTGATAAATTTAAGCAATCAGACTCATTTCACACTCATGGTTCATGACCGTGTGCCTGTAAGTAATGGAGGAAATGAAAATGCTAAAAGCATCCATAAAGAAAATTCATTCTTTAGTCATCTCAAGAGTGCATTTTCTTGGATTGGAACAAAAGGATCAGATGTCACATTCAGGGAGGAGTACCACTTAACTCCAAAAGATGGTTACCTTAAAAGCCAAACCATGTTGCTGAACGGTATCCCCCTAGAGTTGACAAATGATGGAGAAATTCCAACATTGAATCCAGTACTCAACAGTGTACATTCTCCGATATACTTGGATCCTTTATCCATTGCATTTATTGTATTGCCCAACTTTGAATCTCAGGTTTGTGCTGGACATAGAAAACTTTAATAGAAAACATATCTTCTACCCGTTGTATATTTTAAAAGATTAATTTATTCATAAAATTATTTTGAATTTAAATTTAAATTTAAAATAATTATTTTATTAATTACAAATTTTAAAATCTAATTAATATTAGTTTTAATGAGACATAATAATTTGATTATTGTAGTCGTAATTAATACTTTTTTTAGTTAACTTATCAATTCTGTATAAAAAATTACTAAATTTCTCCTAAGACTTGTAATAAAAGGAACAATTTAAGTTATTATTTTCAAAGACACAAATCTATTAAATATGAATTTATCATGCAATTGTTAGTAAGAGGATTTTGGATAACAGAACAATAATTGAATATTAAGAACGTAAAATAAATAATTAATTAGAAGTTTCAATATGAAATTGCATCAATTCAAGATTCAATTCTTACCACAAAATTTTCACAATTCAAAAATATAATACGAGTTCAATCAACCTTAAATCAATACAAATGTAATTAAAATATAAATATAAATTTAGATATATTAAATTTCATAAAAACGTGAAATGCATTCACGATCTTACAATTTTTGTGAAATTCAATAATGGTGAACAATTAATTTAGGAAATTTAAGTTATTTTAGATAAAGATCTAAATCTAGATCTAAATTCAAAATTAATCTTCAAATCTACTTTAGATCTATTTGAACATAAATCATAATCATGAAAAATGAAAAATAGTTTTAGAACGAAGATGAAAAGACTTCATTAAAATTAAATTAGGAACTCAAATTTTATAGCAATTCATGAAATCTTGAATTGATTGAACGAATTAATCACACATCACCATCAAGTTGTTGTAGTTAATTCAGAAACTTTAGATAGAAAAACCTAAAAGAGAATTTAGAGGATCTTATAGGGGAAGCAACTCTAAAATCTAAAAAAATGAGAGAAAGTATATATAATAAGTCTCATAACATCTATTAATATACCAAATTAATGGGTCTAATCGAAATATTTACAAGGCCTAACTAGGGGTGTGCAAAAAATCCAAATTTATTCTAACCTATCCATAACCTATCCTATCCATATTTAAAAATCCGATCCATTTTGAAAAGAAATCCTAACCTAACCACTTTATAAAACTGGTTCAGTTATCCAATTCATTTTTACAAAGTGGATCGGTTCGGTTCGGTTTGGTTTTCTAAAAAAACCGATCCATATATGAGTAAAAAAGTGGATAACTGCACCGCACCGAACCGATCCAATTTCAAAAAAATCGATCCATATTTTAAAAAAACCAAACCGATCCACTTTATAAAAAATGGATCGGTTAACCGATCCACTTTTATAAAATGGTTCGGTTCGGTTTGGATCGGTTTTTTGAAAAAAACCGATCCATGAACACCCCTAGGCCTAACTCACTAAACAACTAATTAACAAGGTTAAACTTTTTATACAACAAATTCTTAAAGTAAATTTAAAATAAAGTGTAGAGGTGTAACATTGTGGCGTATTTTTGGACCTTGGGACGTTTGAATTGAGTGAAACTACCAATAGAGAAATTGTAGAGCTTTGTCATAGCTTTCTAGGGACATAAAAAATGTCCAATTCCGAGTTTAGGAGCTCAATATATGGTCTGCACAAGACAACATGTCAAAGTGGACAAAAATTACGAAAGTTAACTAGAGTTTATATTTGAAACCAAAATAGTCCATTAAAATAAATATTAAATAATTCATCAATTTAAGACACTTATAAGTGTCAAATAAGTCCAATGTAATTTATTACTAAAAGATGTATCAATTATGTACTATCAAATAGTACATTGCATGTCTTAAGAGTTCATAAGACTAGAAATTAGTTTTGTGAGCTTTGTTAACGAGATATGTATTTAGAGTAAATGATCAAATTAGTGATGAGGTTTTTTGCAAACACACCACTTGGCAAGTGAACCAAGTTTCGAAGTAGTATTCAAATATCGTCCTCAGGGATTTGAGTGTTTAGTAGTTCTTGCTCTAATGATTTAAATGAAAATGTTGTTATGATTGCAACTGAGTGAAGATAGGGTAGAACCACACAATAAACTAAAAGTAGTAAAGACAATAGTTAAGAAATAAGGATTGGTTCAGAAGCACTTGCTAACTCATAGATCTTCTTAAAATACATGCGATTCTAATTCCATTATTTCCACGTTCATTAAGTAATCTAACAAGATTCCTCAAGGTTGAATCCTAAAGTCATTAAGCTCAAAACATGATTCCTCTATGTTTTGAGTTTAATACTTCGCATTAAGAACAATAACTTGAACAATGTGACTAACCAAATCAAGTCTATTCCTAGAACAATAATTGATTAGGTGCAAGATTCAGTTCGGATTTTCAAAAACGTTTTCCAACTGGATTCAAAAAACAAAAATCATACAACGGGTGATCAAGCCGATATAAGCATTAAGAGAAGAATCAATGCACAAATAATGAGATCAAAATGCATATATTTAAAAAGAAGAGGAGTTAGTAGTTACATCCAACCAATCCTTAATGAGTTTAGCCACACATGGCCATTACAAGATCTAAGAAGTAAAAGAAGAGATTACAAAGTAGAAGATGAGAACAAGGGGTTGGGCTTCGTTCCCAAATAACCCAGTTGCCCAAGTCTTCGTTCTTGCTCCGTTTCTCCCTTCACGTGCTTCTCAATCTGTTTTTCTCTCTGTTTTTCGTGATCCCCCTGTTTCTTCATTTTCCCCCTTTTATATGAGCTTCAAAACAGGGCCAAAAAGTGACTTTTACTCCCACGGCTATAGCTGTAGATCCACGACTATGGCTGTGGAGAGTCCTTCAGGGTGAAGAAACCTCCAAAGCTGCAGCTGTGGTTTCACAGCTATAGCTGTGGCAACTCCTTCATGGTTAAGTAATTTCTGACGCTTTAGCTATGGAACCACAGCTATGGTTGTGAGTTTCTGTAACTTTTCTTGATCTCCAATGCCTCACCGCTCTAGCTGAAGATCTACAACTATGGCTGTAACTCTCTAGAGTCCCAATTTTGCACTGCAGGTTTCCACAGCTATGGCTGCAGAACCACAGCCATGGCTGCAACTTTATGACTTCTAGAATTTCCTTCCAGATTTCTACAGCTATAGCCGCAGAACCAGAGCTTTGGCTGCAGAAGTCTTTTCCTCAATTTTTGCTGCACTTAAGAGAGAAAATCAACATTAACTCTTCTACTACTCTTCTATCTTCTAATATAACTTTTAAAGAGTAAATTAGCATAAATATATTTACAATTCATCCAAAAAGAGTGCCAAAAGTTGAGTGAATATATGAATAAAAGACACTTAACAATTAGCCTATGAAATTGTATATCGTTCTCAATTTAGTCTCTGACTCTAACCAAACTAAAAAAAAAGTCCTTGAAAATGTAATTCACCATTCATTTTTAGTGCTTGCCACATTAAAAATTTTATCTTTTCAGGGACCCGCAATCTCCATTTTACAACAAGCATTTGCACTATCATGAGGAACTTGTTTCAGCCATTTGAAACCCGACCTAGCCGTATATTAGGGGTGTGCAAAAATTCTAAATTGATCTGAACCGATTCATAACTGATTCGATTCATATTGAAAAACTTGATCCATTTTAAAAAAAATCTGAATTGATCTACTTTATAAAACCGGTTCCATTATCCGATCCAGTTTTACAAAGTGGATCGGTTCGGTTCGGTTTGATTTTTTTTTTTAAAATCGATCTGTATATGAATAAAAAATGGATAATCGCACCGATCCAATTTTAAAAAAATCGATTTATATTTTAAAGAAACCAAACCGTTCCACTTTATAAAAACGGATCGGTTAATTAATCCACTTTTATAAAATAGATCGGTTCGGTTCGGTTTGAATTTTAAAAAAATCATCCATGAACACCCCTCCCCCATATTGACCAGACATGTACTTGTGTTTTAGTACTTGGCTGCAACCAAGGTTTCCCAGGAGAATGGAGAAGGTGCCAAATGAGTTTACCAAGTAATGAGACATTCACTTGGCGAGCATCTCAAAATCCCAAACAACCTAAATTCATATCTTTACAAAGTTTAGCACTGAAATGGTTTTGATTTTTGTCCAAACATGTATGGTGCATTTGTGCAAAGTCATATATAATGCCAAAAAATAAATCTTTGTAACTTACAATTACAACAATACTTAAATAGTCTTCACATTTTTTTAGTAATTGAAGGCCTAAAAAAAGAGTTTTCCATCAACGCATCCAAATAACAACTTTTATTAAAAACAATTATCTTTTAATCTTCGTAAAAAAAATACTTTTAATCTACATGAATTAAACAAAATTAAGTTTGTAAACGCCTACCCAATCACTTAGGAGCAAAAATTACTGATAAAAGAAATTCACTCAGGAGGAGCAACATAAAATACTCTCCTTGTACCGGTGGATACCCCTTCGGTCACGCAATAGGCCGAGAGGGGTACCCGAACCGGAGGGCCACACCATATAGCACCCCCTCGGTCAGACAATAGGCCGAGAGGGGGGCCCGAACCGAAGAGTCATACTGTGTGGCACCCCCTCGATCGGACAATAGGCCGAGAGGGGGGCCCGAACCGAAGAGTAATACCACGTGGCACCCCCTCGGTCAGACGATAGGCCGAGAGGGGGGCCCAAACCGATGAACCACAGCTCCCCCCCTCGGCACCATACCTAGTCGAACACCCCCTCGGCCTCAGGCTAGGCCGAACACTCTTCTGGTCCCTTGGGAAAGACCCAAAGAGTAGTAGTTACTCAACAACGTCCTTTCGACCCCAAGCTTGGCCGAACACCCCTTCGGCCCCAAGCTTGGCCGAACACCCCCTTCGGCCCCAAGCTTGACCGAACACTTCTTCGGTCCCAAGCTTGACCGAACACCCCTTCGGCCTTATGCCTAGCCGAAAGCATAGTGAAAAACCCATGGTGAACACGTGGCAAATCAAACACTGGTGAACACGTGGCAAACCAGATACCTACTAAGATACTAATCACCAGGCCAAATTAAGACAGGGTTAAGGTTAATTCACGTGTTACCCGCATCCCAAGAATGAAGGCCCACCAGGCCCAAACATGTCACTATAAATATACAGGTGATATGACATAAATGAGGTACGTTACTATTCCCACTAGCACATTTATTGCTCTAAACCGAACACTGACTTGATCGTCGGAGTGCCTTTGCAGGTACCCTCCCCACCATTCGGAGTTAGTGATTCAGTCGGCACGGAAGACTCAGAAAGACTGGAAGACAGCTAAGAAAGGAGTAAGGAGACAAGTGTTCTTCACCCGGAACACTCCTTTTTTTTTTTTTACATCCTTTCAGAAAATACTATTTTATATGCCTCTTTATAAAATTAATTACATATCAAATATGTAACTTGATCTTTAACACTCATAAGTGAGAGTAAATGTTAACTACATACAAAATAATTTAATTATATCAAATTATTTTCTTAGAATGAAATTGATTAAATGATTTGTACATCTAATTCGCAAGGATTATATAATTTTTAACAATTTTATATTATTGGTGATTCGTTGATTGTTTCAAGATAATATTGCATAAAGCTTTATATAAAAACTATAGAACATTGAAAATTTTCTATTGTATAAAAAAATGACCTTTAATTATTCTGTCATTTTGGTATCAAAAGATCAAAATAAAAATTCTAAAAATATAATCAATGCCTTTTGTTTTTATAAAATGACAAGTCACAATTATTGTCAAAGAGAGTATTTTTGTTTTTAACATTATCATCAATCATTTTTTTTTAACAAATATAGAAAGCAACTAAGTGATTTCTTATGTAATTTTTTTTTACATCTTTGACAGTATAAATTTTAATCCTGTCAGTATATATAAATTAAATCAGTGTATTAATCTTTTAACGCAATGAGACAGATACGATATTGAAATATTAATCGTTCAGCACTTAACCAAAAGCAGTGATGGAATTCAATGATTGATACCAATTGGCTAATTGAGCGCAGTATTGGGGCTCTACCTATAAAAGCAGGATGAGAAATGAACAAAGTGAATGTAGTATTGCACCAAGTGGAGTTTAATCTGTTGCATATTTAATGTAATGCAACACAAGTGTAAACTTAATGAAATGATTGTCTCATTAAACCAGATGATGGATCCAAAGAGAGAAAACAATGATGAGGAGCAGGAAAGGAAATAAATAGCAAGAGATGAAATCAATCTTATTTTCCGAGTAAACGACTGCCACGTTGATTGGCACCTTTCATTCGGAAATTCAACTCATCCACATCATCATACAGATGATTCAGGGCTTTGTTATGCCTGCAAGCGCAACATTTACCCAAATAACTATTAATAATGGCATACAAATTGTTAGAAGAAAAAAAAAACTATTAATAATGCAATTGACTAACCACTCAATCTCGGATCCCATGTCAACAGCCATCTCTTTAAGCTCTCCTAACAAATCACTTAAATCTGATAGTGCATCATCTTGCTTCCTTTTTTCAACCTGTTTCAGCACATTTTATTTAGTAGCTGAATTCATATGAACAATAAATAATATGTCGTCAAACAATTGGCTAGAGTCTAATGGTTAGTCAAAGTATTAGCAAAAGAGTGTTAGAGACAGTATCACTAGCATTTCTCACGTAATTGGAAATAAAACTGGCTTGTGGTAACCTAATGATATGGTCATTAGAGCTGAAACTATAGTAAAAAGTCACCAGCACATATTAATGACATCAAAATCAGAGAGACACTTATAGAACTGCTATCATAATAATACCTAACACACTAGAGCTTCAAACAACACTTTAATCTTCACCTACTAGTTGATACGAACCTCAACTTTTTCAAGTGCATTTGTTGGCTCCTGAGGTGGGGTCCGCAGCTTGGACTGCCCTTTGGGTGCTGAAGTCAGCCCCAACTTCTCTCTCTGCTCCAAGTGATTTCCCTTTCTCCTGATTGGGTCATCTGCATATCATGAACAACATTATGCCAATACTACAACAATAATAGTAAAACAACGAAGTGTGTTTGAATACCGGTTTGAAATCACGTTCAACGGAGAAATACACATTCCAATGTGGAAAAAGTAAAAGCTTGTGAGTGTAATTTTTTTTTTTTTAACCTCAGTTGAGTTAAACTTATCTGGTTCCCAAACACATCCAAAGTCTTATCCCACTAGGTGAAGTCGTCTACATGGTTTAGTTAAAAATTACAGTTTCGGATATTGTATTTACCGTGAGATTATGCCAACAATACAACCCAAAAGAATTAAGAGAAAATTACATTAACACTCTTCAAGGTTTTGTGAAATTGCACATGTACTCTACTCTCTTTTTTTTTCCTATACTAACCTCTTTAATTGTTTTTCAAAACATTACACTGGCAACCCGTAAATATTACACTAACCTCCCTTAATTGAAAATATTACACTGAGACCCCATATAAGGGAGATTTGTGGTAAACTTTAAAAAGGCACGAGAGTTGTGTGCAATTTCACAAAACCTCAGGAGTATCAGTGTAATTTACTCAAGAATTAAAATTGGAAAAGAAAGCACATGTTGAGAAGATATTAACCTCCAACAATAACCGGGCCTGTTATTGCACGTGTCTTCTTTGGTTTCCAAGTTTTGGAGAAGAGGCCACCAAGGCTTCCCAAGAGCTTTTCTCCCTGGAAGCAGCAATAGTCAAAATTTAATCAGTTTTACAGCAGAATAAGAATTTGATTTTGAAAGGGTTTCATAACAAAATGATGTTCTGAAGCAACACAAAATTTACACAAAGGTAAAACAACATGAAGAAGCCATCCATATAGGAGCACTGAAAAAAGTGTATTAGTTAACAAGATTGATACCCGACTCAAATCGTGATCAATGTCAGCAGCAACATGATGACTCCTGGTAATTTGTTCACCCTGTTGATGAAGGGTGACTAGTGTCTTGGTAGCATCCTCTCTTATGTTCTCTGCTATCTTCAAACAATTGTTGACCGAATTTGTAGTCTCTTCAGCCTTGTAAACAGCATAATTCTCCAATTCTTGCACCGATTGATTCTCTAATCCACCGGAATCACGAAAACCATTCTTATACCTGTTCCGATCCGCTGATTGAAAGGCATATGATGTTGATGAAGATTTCTTGTTGGCATCAATGTCATCATCAAAGGGGTTGGTGTTAACTTCCAGTGTAACAAGTGCACGTCCTGAAGAAGTCTTTTTAGATGAACTATACTTTCTGTTATCCACTGCCTCATCATCAGAATCAAATGGATTCGTCCAAGATGCAACAGAGCTAGGTTTAGAAACCTTCAAAGGAGATTTCTTTGAACCCGACATATTCTCTCTTCTTGAACAATCGGTTCAGATGCAGATTAAGGTAAAGTACTCAAAAATAACAAACAAAAATCCTGTGTGACCTAAAGACTAGTTATCTCTCCCTGCAAAGGCAAGCAAGTGGTATTCAGTCACTACAAAAACACCACAATAAGCAAAATAAACCCAAATATCTAATTCTTAATCCACTTATCACAAAAGCATTGATTTTATCAAGAAACCATAGTCATAACTTGACAAAAACTACACGTTCATAAAAAGAACCAAAAGAATGAACCAAGGTAGACAAAACGGACAAAAGCGATTAAGGGTAAAGCAACATAAAGAAAAACGGAATCACCAGCCATTGACAAGGACCGTGAAAGAAAACAAAATAAAATAAAAGTACAAAAATTCCCCATCCAAATAGAAAGATCAAGAAGCACAAGATTTCCAAGGACAGCGGAAAACACAAGAAAGCAAAAATCTCGAAACACCCAGATGGACTAAAGGGCTTGCCTCAGCAACAGAATCATCAAAATCAAAACTTGTTCAAAAGAAAGCAACATGGTACCTGGAGTAAGAAACGGAATGTTCAGCGAGACTCGTAAAAAAGCACGAATTTTGATAGCTCCAGATAATGGGAGAAGAGAAAGGGCTTCGATAAGAAGTTGATAAAGCAAAAATAGCGTCAAGAAAGGTCAGAATGGGAGGGTGGAAAGTGCGGAGAAAACGCAGTTTGCAAGGCAAAATGGAGAGTGAACGTGTTCTTCGGTGAAGAAAACGCTCTTATTGTGTGTGTTTGTTTATTATTTAAATATTATAAATTTGTTTATTTATTTATTATAGGCGTCGTTTGAATTGAGACGTTGAATGGATCAAGTGGGGGCACCTTTCGAGATGTGCTATGTAGGAGCCATTTCAAACCCCAAAAGCAATCCACTTTGACAACTTCTTTATGCCTCCAAAAATATAATCTTCTTTTGGGATTTTTGGATACCAAGTTTTCCAATGAAAACGAAAGGAATTAACCAAGAGCTAGGATGGTAGAAAAGAATTTTTGGGATTCTCACTTAATTTTATGCACATTTTTATTCCTATAAAATTCATTTTAAAAACTATTAATGATGATTTTTAACTAATATTTTAATTTGTATAATACACAAATTAAATATTTATTATATATAACTAAAATTTATAATATATTATATAAATAAATATTATGTTTGAATATATAAATTATATTTTAAATTATTATAAATAATTATAATAAATAAAAATTAAATCAAATAAAAAGTTTAAAAAATCTCTAAGAACTTTTTCTTTGATTTTTTTTTTTTAAAAAACACTCTTACATAAAAATAAAATATCATATTTAATATATAGGAGTTGAGTGATTAATAACGTAAAAGAATTTATATGGAAGCTTATAAAAATAAACTCAAAATATAAATGCAAGAAACAATTATGTTTTTATTTTACATTTATTTAGTGAACAATTAATAAATTGTTGCCGGCCATTGATTTAGATTTGTGTATTACTATTGTTTTGCTTTTTTTATTAATACTGCTGTATTGGTTGATTTAAATATGCGTCGGGCCAAAAACAAAAACATCCCAAAGATGTCACTAAAAATCAGCAAAGTTTGTTATAATTAAATCAATGCGATATTGTAATTATTACTGTCCATTCCGGAGTTACTCCTTCTTCTTCTTTTTGACTTTTTTATACTTTAATTAAAAAATATATATACCATATTAACACATGTCGTAAAATATTATTTAAATTAAACCAGTGCATTTTACTATTATATATATGAGAAATCCTTTTCCCTGCATCCGATTTCTATGCGAATATTTTTTTTTATTGTTTTAATATCGAGTAATCGAGGTTAGGCACCTAAATTCTCAACATCGTTCATTTATTTATGATTAAATTATATTTTTTCCTTATTTTATTTGTTAGGTTTATTTTGACTCTTCATATTTTAAAATGTTTATTTTGATATTTTTTTTATTAAATTTAGACCAATTTTATCTTTTTAAAATAATGATTATTTTCAATTTTGAAAAATAATTTTAGATTTTTTTTTTACTTTTTTAAGATTTTAAATTCATCTCATTAAATTTACTTATATAAAAAATTATTAAATATAATTAAAGTTTAAATAAAAAAGTATTATAAAAATTATATAAAAATTAGTACAAAAGATAATTTAAAATTCAAAATCTATGATTTCATACTATTTTTTAATTACTTATGAAATATTTTTCAAACAATTTTTACTATATTTTTATATAGTTGAATTTATTATTATAAATTTCACATCTCAAATCAGTCAAAAATGAATTTAAAATTAAAAATTATTATTATTTTAAAATAATTAAATTGATTCAAATATAAAAAATAAGGAACTCAGATGAACTTATCAAATAAGAAAAATGATCAAAATTATAATTTAGTCTTTATTTATTTATCTTAATTTATAAATTTAAAAAGAGTTTAATAGTGTAGGTTAAAACAATTTTATGCGATCATTTAATCAAAAAATGTCATAAATAAAAAATTTATTAACTTTTATAATTATTATTTTAAAATTCATATAAATTGTGATTTCAATTGATTAATTAGTGAATTTCCATTAAACTTATCTAATTCTATTATGACAAGTATATCCATTAATAAGTAATAAAGTGATGAATAGAGTTATCATTCTTATAAGAATGATTTAGTTTTTTTTTCTTTCTCATTAATATTTCAAGATTTTATCTAAAACTAATTTGGAGATAAGTATAATCTGATTAAGAATGATCATAATTAAATGCTAAAAATAAGCGAATTGTAATTGTTCCGACCAAGGGGTGGACTAGGATTTTTTCCTAGATCATACCTTAGAGCCAGAGCATTCAAAAGTGTAATCTGTCTTCTTAACTCTAGGGTTTTGGATTTTATAGTTTCTTGTTCACGGGCCTTATGAGCCCCGTGAATATGGGGATCTCTTTAGCGGTTACAATCTAGAAAATACTTGGTGAGTGAAGGTGGGACCTCGCCATTTACTGAGTGTCCAATCGGATAATGACCGAGTAAGCCTTTATGGGTGGGAGTCGATCGGTATCTGGCTCTGAGAGGGAGAGTTGGCCAAGGTTACAGTCGGGTGAGTCGGCCAAGGTTACAGTCGGGTGAGTCGGCCAAGGTTACAGTCGAGTGAGTCGGCCAAGGTTACAGTCGGGTGAGTCGGCCAAGGTTACAGTCGAGTGAGTCGGCCAAGGTTACAGTCGGGTGAGTCGGCCAAGGTTACAGTCGAGTGAGTCGGCCAAGGTTACAGTCGGGTGAGTCGGCCAAGGTTACAGTCGGGTGAGTCGGCCAAGGTTACAGTCGGGTGAGATCAGGTCGTGAATCGGCCTAGGCAGTGCACAGGTTTATAGTCGGCCTCACACGCATAGTAGCCCTTATATTCAGCGATACCAATCGGCCTACGGGCGAGTCGGCGACACCAATCGGCCTACGGGCGAGTTGACGATACCAATCGGCCTACGGTCGAGACGGTCCACTTGCCTTCCAGCCTTGAGCCTATAAGGCGAAAAGGCTTAAGGTGTAGTCCTTATAGTCCGAGATACCAATCGGCCTACGGCCGAGTCGGCAATACCAATCGGCCTACGGTCGAGACGGTCCAGTAATCAAATTACTGAATTGGTTACAAACAAATAGAGAAAAAATAATAGTCAATAACTCAAGACTCGTGAAAAAGACTCAAGGTTCAAAGTATAGGTTAAGACTCTTCCAAACCCTTGTTAAACCTCGGTGATGCTCATAAAAATGGTAAACTTTTTGGTTCAATTTTAACAAATACATAAGTCGACGACAAGTATTGATGACTCAAATATCCTTTTATGGTATATTATTATTTTAGATTTCGCAAGACGTATTACTGTTTTAATGAGTATTGTATCTTCCTGTTAAGAAAAATACATTTCAATTCGATAAAGAAAAGTTTAATTGAGTTTTTTATGTGGCTCACAAACCTCGTGTATCAATACAACAAAAATCTATCCAAATATTTATGCTTGTAGATTGACTTGTAATGTGATCAATGGTGACGCTGTATAGTTTGTGATAGTTGTCATTTATTATGGTGATGATGTATCAAATATTTCTAGATTCTAAGATTAAGTTTGGCTTGTAATAAATCTAACTTAGTTTTTCTTTTGATGATCTATCTTTGTAGGTAAGTTAACAATTACTAGTACTGGCTCGTCACTCGTGTGTGTGTCTATTGTTCCACTTCTGTCAAGCTTGTGAGGTTCCATGATACCTTTGTACATCATCACAATGTTTTGCAATGTGAACATTGGACATGGCTGTTGTGAGTGTTTTTCGCCAAACAAGAATGTGCCCAAATCATGAGCTTTTATTTTTTGATAAATAAAAATAATAGAACGAGAAGATTGATACTTTCAATAAACTACTAAGTTGGACGCTAATGACATTAAAACTCCCAACAGAAGTCTCCTTAAAGGATTACTGCACAAATTTAAACTGCAAGCAGTTTTATTTAGTTGCAACCATTTAACTAATTCTTAAACACTAGAATATTCTTAGAGAAAGTTTTCTATCAAGTAGGAAAAATGACGTTAGAGAATTCCATTGTGCAACCTTGGAGAAGGTGAAAGATTATGATCATAAGTTACTTGCATGAGTAGACTACAACAATTGAACCTATATCTCTGTGATTCTGGAATAGACATCTCAAAATTCGTCTATTTTGAAGCTTTTTCTTCTGTAAGTGAACCAAGATAGCACTAGCAATATTCAAGACATGTAATTTTAAAACGAAAATAAACATTAACCATTGTGAATTCATAGGAAATAATCAATGTTACCGATTAGTATTTCTTTATGTAATTTTTAACTAGTTTCAACTTCAAGCTCTCCTTTTATCACCATTATATGAGGAGGCATGTGGTGTCTTATCCAACCCAAAGAAGGATAACAGAGTATTTGGTGTGGGAAAGGCAGAACCAATAGAAAAAATCCAAGTCAGCCTCATCACCTTATCCACAATCCCCAACCCTCTCTTTAGTTACCCACCACCAATCACCCCTTCACAGAATCTAAAAACCATTTCCTTTCATCTCTTCTCACACACACACACCACACGCAGCCATGTCGCTCACCATTCCCACCAACCTCTCCAAGCCCGCCGCCCTCCGCCCCAAGCTAAGCCCAAGACCGCGGCCCACCATCGTCTGCACCACCAATGCCAACAGCCCGGACACCACAGATCTCAAGGCCTTCTCCGCGGCGCTCGCCCTCTCCTCCATCCTCCTCTCGGCGCCGCTCCCCGCCGCCGCGGACATCTCGGGCCTGACGCCGTGCAAGGAGTCGAAGCAGTTCGCCAAGCGCCAGAAGCAGTCGATAAAGAAGCTGGAGTCGTCGCTGAAGCTGTACGCGCCGGACAGCGCGCCGGCGCTGGCGATAAAGGCGTCGGTGGAGAAGACGAAGCGGCGGTTCGACAACTACGCGAAGCAGGGGTTGCTGTGCGGCGGCGATGGGCTTCCGCACCTGATCGTGAACGGGGACCAGAGGCACTGGGGCGAGTTCATCACGCCGGGGTTCCTGTTCCTGTACATCGCGGGTTGGATCGGGTGGGTGGGTCGGAGCTACTTGATTGCGATCAGGGACGAGAAGAAACCGACGATGAAGGAGATCATCATCGACGTCCCTCTGGCCTCGCGTCTTCTCTTCCGTGGCTTCAGCTGGCCCGTTGCTGCCTACAGAGAGCTCATCAACGGTGACCTCGTTGCCAAGGATGTTTAAGGTGCGCTCACTTCCACTCTTCTATCCTGCACTCCTCTCTAACCCTTTCCTTTTATTCACTTTGCTTCTTCCTCCCTTGTCAGATGAAGCGTGGGCGATGGATGGAATTGGAATATGTTTCTGCGCTCATTTTCTAATTATTTTTTAATGCTACATCATTAATGTAATGTAATCTAAAATAATTTTAATTATATAATTCGAACTAGTTATTTCTGTTATCAATTATATATAATTAAGGTAATTGCCTAAACGATTAAAGTAATTAATATAATTATTATATGTCGAAAGGAAATGATGTATTTTTATAATTCAGGAAAAAACATGCAATTTGTCTGGCTGTTAATTAAAATTTAAAGATATATAAGCACTGAAATTTCAAATGCTTCAATAATTCTATATTTAATACATTTTAAGATATGACTTCTAGTACCAACAAAATGTTTTTTTCATACATATAAAGGAGGAGGAGATCCAATTCCCGATTAGATGCTTAAAGAACAAAGATTACATGTTAACCGTGCCACACTAGGTTGATTTAGATTTAATTTCTTAAGAATTTGCCGAAAGCCATTTTACTTTAACATGCATCTATTTTTTAAAAGAAAAATCACCGATTTTTATGAATCTCTTAAAAGAATGTTTAAAAAACGAGCATTTCTTAAAATAAAATAAATATGTGATTCCAAAACCTGTTTGCCAAGAATCATTCGTTTTAAAAAAATAAATAAATTGAATTTAAACTGGTAAAATTATGCCAATTGCACTCATAGGTAGAGATCATGTACAATTCTTATCCTCTCCCCTCCATTCCCGCAAAACGCACAAAAAAGGAAAGAAAGAAAATATCTCCAAGCATCCTTAAGCACTTCTCTCAATTCGTTCCCTGTTCTTCTATACATACCCACTTTGATTCGATAGAAGGCATAAGAAGATGTCGTATGTAAATCTTCCATCACAGAAGAAAAAGAAAGAGAAAAAAAATAGTGGGGGCAAGGGGACAATGTTGTCCAACTATAACAATTCTCTTGCCAGGATGCTTTCCAGAACTATAAACCCTGAGAGAAGCAATGGAAATCAAATTAGCGGAACTTATTTTGTGAAACACTTAAAAGAGACAAAGAATAAAGGGAGATTGATAGTGTAAATAAATGTTGTAGAAACTGGTATGAAGCAAAATTGATACTTCGGGATTAAAAAATGAAGCAAATTTCAATTTTTATCAACTCAAACAAAGGGAAGTAACATCATTACATTTTCATTCTATTATGTTCTTCTAACCATTACAATTTTCCTTTATTTCATTTTCTCTCTAAAACTAGACATTAAAACTATTCCTCAACTGATTTCTGGTCAGAGTAATGTGCAGTATGCAGCTATAAAAGGCCTGCGAACTATAAAACTCTCTTCAGTACACAAGGGAATCTTAGAGATACTGGACTTTAAACTCAATCCAACAATATGAATTCAATAGTTCAACTGTAATGAAAAGTATTTGGCAAACTACTTTTATGTTGAGAGGGCAACTTTTGAGATGCATCGATACAAACCTTTGAGGTCATTCTCTACCTGAATGACTTAGAACAGTGTCAGCCTCTGTTTCAGGGAGATGCCTGGCAGCAACTAAGGGTTTCTATGCTCTCTCTGAAGCTGGAATAAAAACAAAAGAGAAAAAAATAAGCACGGTGCACTATAAATGAACTCTAATGGATAAATGAGAAAGAAAAAGAAAAAAGACAAGACATTTTTAACTTCTGACTTAATACCTGAGCCTCTAACTCGGCAATTCTTTGCAAGGATGCATGTTCAATGCAAGCACGGCGCTTACATTCTTCCTCTAGAGAACTAGTAAATTGGTATCTCAGCTCTGCCATTTCCTGAACTAAGTCCTCTGCTTCTTCTTTGGCCCTCAACTTTTCTTCTCTCAATTCTTCCTGGTAGAGGGGGTCAAAATACCATATAAATCTCAAATCTTATGGCATACGATATCTAATTAACAAATTCACATAGACCACTTCAACGATTAAGCTTGGATGAATGCCCATACCTTCAGTTTCTTGATAAGACGTTCATATTCTTGAATCTGTTGTGACATCTCCATGTTCCCTTTTAAATCTGCAGCTGGATCTGAGATCATTGCCAATCTTCCAACATGTGACACCCGTTCTTCAGAAGTTCTGAGGAAATATTAAGAAAACATTACCAGAAAGTGTAATGAAAGTATACTTCAAATCATAAAATTATAAAAACAAAAAGAAGAAATAATTGGACACCTATGTAATCACAAGCGATTAGTGAAGACACGTAATCTTATCTTCTCCATACATAACTATCCGGATAGACACGTTTAATTTCTTTTAATGTGCATGCTATGTTGGCTGTGAAACATTGCATTGAAGAGCCAAAAGGAACATATTTCAACTTACATAAACTAGTAAGGGGAATTACTCATTTCTTTAATTTTCAGAATGCATCCCATCCATGTTGAAATTCTACAAATTTTAAATACAAAGAGGTGTAATTAACTACTGATGATCATAATAATATTGTTAAGACTTTATTCAAGCCGCTCTGTTTGTTTTATTATATAAGAAAAAATTGAAACATTAAGAAAAACAGAAGGAAACAAGTTAGCTTGATAAACCCGCGGACTTCTGTTTTATTAACTTGAAGAGTACTCTGAAACTATCAAATTGAAGGTCAAGCCCAGATAGATAAAAGGGCAACAGAAGATCACAATGAAAACATCCTCATCTTTCAGCAATTAAACACAATTAAAATAACATACTTAACTGGCCACATGTCAAAAATAATTAGTCGAACATCTAAATAAAAGTTCAAAATGGGTGTACCTTGAGCCCTTCAGCATGGAAGGGTCATTGCCTTGTTGGCTCAAGGAAGATTGAGTCTTGAGTTGTGATCTGTCCTTGTTTTCCAGACAGTACTCATCCTTTTGAGAAGAAATTCTAGAGTTTCTGTGGGCAGTATCAAGCATTTTTTTAAGTTCCCTATTTTCTTCATTTAGAGAGACGATGATTTTTTGGGCATCCTGCAATGCAACCTGGAGCTCCTCAATTGATCTACTCATTCTATTATTTTCATCAAGAGTTTCATCATGGATTTTCTTGGCCTCAAAAAGACTCTGTTCCAAGGCCATCATGTCAAGCTTCATACTCTCTACTTCAAACTGAGACTCTAATGCTATGGATGAAAATGATTCCTCCAGTTTCTCTATGGACAAAGCTGACTTCTCTAATTCTATTTCTTTAGTATCTAGTTCCTTGATCAAGGAAAATTGATTTAAATTGGATCTTTTCAGCTCCTCCCTTAAGCTGAAAACCTCCTCTTGTAAATCTTCCATCCCTTCTAATTTCAATTCAAGGCTGCAAACACGCTGTTCCAAGTAGTTCACCTCTTCATTCCTTGCACCGAGTTGATCCTGAAGATAATCTGTATAAAGTTCAAACAAAGTAAGCCAGTGAAGAAGTGCTAAAAAAAAACTTCAAAAATTTTAATTTAGCATTCAATAAATGCATTCCATGGGAATTCAACTACTATTACAAAGTAGTTTTGAGGTCAAAAATACACAAAATAAGAGGTGAAAGAAACACTACTCTTTAAATGACAACTATCTGTCACCAAAGTTGTTCATCCATGAAAGTACACATGCATGCCATGAAAATAGTAAAGAAGAAATTAAAAAAGAAAAAGGGGAAAAACCCACCTATTTCTTGAAAACAGTTTAGAAGCTCTTTTTCCAACCTCTGAATACGTTTCCTGTCTTCTGCATGAGATTCTGATAATGACATATCATGTTGTCCTAGTATCTGCATCTACATCGTATTTGTATCAGCCATCAGGTGTTTGCTAAATAAAACTCAATTTTAAAAACTTATTGGTCATTTACTCATTTAATGAATCTATCTTTCATTATAAGTAGTGGCAAGGTTTTATGATCCAAGTCCAAAGGAATCTATGCAAGGTTCAACTTCACTCTGTATTGTTCCTTTATCAAGTGTTTTACTATCCTCTCCCTTTAAGGCTTTAACCAATGTGTACCTAAGTGATGTAAATATTAAAATCATGCAACATTTTGAATTTGAAATTCAGCAGACTCAATTTTAAAAACTTATTGGTCATTTACTCATTTAATGAATCTATCTTTCATTATAAGTAGTGGCAAGGTTTTATGATCCAAGTCCAAAGGAATCTATGCAAGGTTCAACTTCACTCTGTATTGTTCCTTTATCAAGTGTTTTACTATCCTCTCCCTTTAAGGCTTTAACCAATGTGTACCTAAGTGATGTAAATATTAAAATCATGCAACATTTTGAATTTGAAATTCGGCAGGAAGTGTTTGTGCATAAAAAAATCACGCTGGAGCTCTCTATGTTGAATCAACAAGCATTAGAACCCCATATCACCAGTGTCAAATTAGCCACAACAAACCAGCATGTAACGTACCTGGTTTAGTTGAATGCTTTGGGATTGAGATCTTCTCAAAACGCCCATCTCTTTTCTATGCTGCAAATCATAGACAAAAAATATATCGGTAGGTAACAAACAAGATGATACATAAAGTCCAGTCGCAAACAGCATGGAAAACCCAAAAAATATTTGAAAAGCTAACAACATTTACATTGATAAAATTAGGAATTCAATCAAGAAATAGTTAGGTTTAAAAAGAGGGGTACCTCTCTTCTACGTCTCGTGCCGAGTTCCTCCCCGTTTAAGGGAGTGTAATTATCGCTTCTGCAAGTATTTGACATTTATGTAATAAAAAATTGACACCTGAATAATTTTCATTACCAGATAAACCGTGTTAAAAATTTATACCAGTGGAGAGAGAGAAGCCATAACCAATTCGCAAAACCATGTGAAATTTTCCTAAACAATGAATCGAAAAACTAAAAGAGAGAGAGAGAGAGAGAGAGAGAGAGAGAGAGAGGTTACAGTTTTAAAGTGAGGTTAGAGGAATTGATGAAAAGAGGCGTAATGCCTTGCCGCGCCTCCGTGTGTTTGTTAGGACACACGTTTTGAATTAAAATTCACGTCCAAAGTATCAAAAACGTCCAACTTACGGGAAAGACACTCTCAGTGGGTGGGGACACAATCCATCCAATTTACTTTCTTTTTAATGAGGTTATGTTTGCTACAAAATAATTGATAAATTTGCAATGCTAATTTTCAATCGATAAATATTCACTTAATTTATGAAGTTAAAAATATTTTATAAAACTAGCTGTTGAACGATTTAAATGAATATAAATTTTTTAAAATATGCATGTTTATGTGATTTGTATACACATTTTATTATATAAATATATATGTATATATAACAAATCCAACCAACAAGAACAATTTATGATATTTTTCACACTAAATTTCACAAAATTCAATTATTTTAGTGTGAAATTTTTTGGTCGTGGATTTTACTTAAATTTTTATGCAATTTCAAATTATTTCATTATTTTAAAACCCGAATGAATAATATCATTTTGTATAATTTCATGATCTTTTTCTCTTTTCATTCAAATTACGGTTTGCTAAATGTACTATTAGTAAATATTTTGTGATATTAATTTATATTTGTAATTATTGTTCATTTTACATTAACAATATCAATTTTTTTAACTTTTAATTAAGTCTTCTATTTAATGATTTTTTGTAATTAATTGAAATATGATTATCACTACTTAATTACACCACTTATTCTCGTGTTTTGGCTAACACTTGATTAGGAAGTGAATTTGGAGCAAGTCAAGAAAAATAAGACACATGGAAGTCAAAAAGAATAATTAAAGTAAGTTTCTTTGAAGATTAATCAATGTCATACTATTCACATCCAACGCCAACTAGGCATAGAGTCTCTGTCTTCATTATGTTTATTGACCTTTGCCTATGTCTAATGTAACCTTAGCAAAGAGGATTTATTTTCCTTCTTGTGTGCATGTGCTTGACATGGTTTAGCGTGTGTTGGGCACCATTTTAATTATGTGGTACTTTTGAGACATTTTATCTCACTCTCGTTTGGAGTGACTTTTGAGGGATTGGAGCTAAACAAGTGCTACTAGGGTTTCCCTTGTCACCTTGAAGCTTATCTTTTACCCTCCATCTTCTATGACTCCAATTATTTTCTTTTTTGTGTTCTTTATGATAATGAGGAGTTAATTTCATCCTTATTGTGTGTGTCTTTCCATTTCAATGTTAATATTTTGTTTTTAATCTTAAGGCTCTTTGTAGATTGTGCTCTTTATGGATTGATCAACCATAACTTGATATTTGATTGATTGAGTGTTGAAAAATATTTTTTGTAATCTTGAACTAGAATAAAATACCTAATGGAGTTTGGTCTAAGAATAAAACTTGACTCATTAACTATCTCAAATTCTTTTGATTTATGCAAGTTTGTTTATTAAATATTTAAGGGATTTATGTTAAATAAGAGAATTTATGTTTTTCCGTTTGAAGAATCAAGATTTGAGCAAAAATTAGTGAGATAATATCAACATTAAATATGAAAAAAGATTTGAGTGTTAATGCACGAGAATGGAGTTCGATGAAGTATAATCTCAATATTAACATATCATTTCATATTTTTTTTATCTAAACCACCTTTTAAGTATGTGTAAGAATACAAAAAATAAATAAATAAAACTCTACCTTTCTTTTATATAGTTTTTATTTCTTTCATCAATCAAGATTATTTAATGAAATATTCTTTAATCTAAATTACTTATTAAATGTACTTATTGTCATGTATCACACGAACTTTCAAAGAGACAATACTTATCACTAATCATTTGTACATTTGTACCATTTATGCACTTACCAAAATCGCTTAACAATCTTATTCATCCATTTGTTTTTTTTTTTTTTTATCAATTTGACATTTTACTTAAGAAAAATCTAAGTCAAATTTCACACATATTAACATAATGTTAGTAAGTTTCTGAATTAGTTTAAATCAGTTTTGGACACTCTTAAATATATTAATTAACCGTGAATTAACGTGTATAGTATTTATTCTTCAACAAAAGAAAAAAGTTTATAACATTTGGTAAAATCGTTAAAAAAAATTTATCATATTTTCGTACTCTTACATTAACATACTGTATATTGTTGTTTGATATTTTAGTATATTTATATATTTTTTAATAAGGAGATATCCTTTCCACCGGTTTGGATTTTACAAAAATAAATTAATTTTAGAAAGTTAAGTCGAGTTAAATTTAATTTAATTTTTTAAATATTTTTTTTAGAAAAACAATTTTGATTCAACCAAGATTTACTTATAAAATTGTAACGAAATTTTTTTTTTCAAATATATAAGTATTGCATTTAAAATTAATTAAATAATATTACATTTTTTCTTTTCAAATCTACCCTAACTCCCTTCGGTTCTTTTTCATGGTTCACGAAGGAGTTTAGACTTAGGGGGATGTATTGGTTTAGGATTTCGTAGGATTTTAAAAGACTTTTTTTGAGTAAAAAAGTCCATTGGTATTCAATCAGGATTTTATGTCACTTAAAAACAATCCAGTGGTATTCAATCTGGATTTTTAGGATTTTTTAAAGAGTCCATTAAAATCCACTGGTATTCATTTGAGATTTTTTACAACTTAAAAACAATCCATTGGTATTCAAAAATTTAAGGATTTTAAAGGATTGTTGTGTGAGAGGGATTTTGAAAGACTTTCTAGTGTTATCTATAAATACCAGATTCATAAAACAATCCCATCCAAACCCATCGGATTTTGAAGGATTGTTTGAAATGATTTTTCAAGTGTTTTAAGAATTTTCAAGTGAGTTTTTCATCTTTTTTTTCTATGCTCCTGTCTTCTCCATTTTTTCTCTACTAATAATACTACACTATTGTTCATTGCTCATATATAATACTATTCTCATACCATTCTCCTATTTTGTGAAACTCTAATATGTAAATGATAGTGTCATTGACTTGTTTTATTTTTCTGTTCGTTCTCTTTAATTGACTTACTTTATTTTATTCTATGTAGTTGAATTTGTTCCTTTATATAACACAAAAAAATACTTGAAATTTTAACTTTTAAGTGGTAATTTTTTTTATGACACACGTTAAGAAAAGAAAAAGGTGAAAGATGAAATTGATATCATAATCTCAACAATATATATATATATATATATATATATAAAAGATGAATTTGTTAGGGTTTTTGTGAGTAGAATGAGATAAAAATGGATCTTAGTAGGGGGAAGAACCCTCTTAGCATAAAAATTGCGAATTCTCTATTTCCCTTGAATTTGTTACTCTTATCCCTCCTCCTTTTATGACTCAACAATTATTTTATTTTTTTTACTATGAATTTTTCTTTTTTATTTTTATATTATGAAATTAAGATTTTTTATATTTTAAAAAAAGAAAATTAACATAAGACATTGCAATATCTAATTTTTTAGGGTTTAGGATTTATGCCTTCATTAACTTATTTTTTAAAAAAGAAAATATTGTTAAAATATTTGTTAGAATAATTTATATTTATAAATATCGTTAAAAATTAATATATATATATATATATATATTCTCTATATCTAAATACTTCTGTTTATATAAAAAAAAATTATATATCTAAATATTTTTTCAGTATCGAATATACTAATTTTTTTATATAAAAAATTATCTTATGTTTCTATATTTTCGTTTTTAAATTTTTTTTTATAATAACTGAGGTATTTGATCCATTTGGATAGCAAAAATATATTCGATCTTGTATGATGGTGTGCTTCTAAAAATAATAATATAATTTTATTGATTTTGTCTATTATCCGTAATTATTTATATAACTATTTTTTAACATATATTGTTTTAGTAATTCAAATGGGAGATTCACAAGGAAATAATAAAGAAAAATGAAAAGAGAAAGAAAACTATGAAGCTTGGATTAAGGATGATTCCGATGAATTGTTACAATTGATAGTGGATGCTATAAAAAGAGGATAGAATATTATAGAGAATTATTATTATTATTTATCTAGACATTATTTTTTTTATTTATTATTTTTATCTTTGACTCTTTTTAAATTTGAATGTTAAATTTTTTTTAAATCTTATCAAATGTCAAAACTCCACAAAATCCCACAGAATCCATTAAAATCCTAATTTAAAAGTCTTGCAGAATCCATTAAAATCCTGATTTTAAGTCTTGTAGAATCTTGCAAAATCTTAAAAGTAATGAAAATCCTGCAAAGTCTTTTAAAATCCGCAGGATTTTTTTTAACTAAAAAAGTCCTTTAAAATCCTAATCCAATACACCCCCTTAGAGTTTAGGATTTAGATACGGATGTCAATAATATAATGTAGCTGAAATGCTGTGAGGAAAAAACGAAACATCGGAAATGGCTTTTCGTGAGGGGTACAGTTAAGGGACAAACCGGGAAAAAAAAAGATTAAAAAAAAGAAAGAACGAAAAAATTAAAGATTTTTTTTTTAAACTATTAAATTAAAAATAAAATGACCTAACGGTCTAAAAATCCTTTTTCATGATGAATGACATGTTTAGGTCTTCCACAATTTTCCCTTGTCCCTTAACCCAACCAATTAAAATAAAACACACCTTTAATTTCTTAACCCACTCCAAACTAAATAGTCTCAAAAAAAAAAATCCTGCTGGGCTTACATTTCAAAAATCCAGATACAGAGTGGGCCTGAATTCGATCTGGTTTAATTAAGGGTTGATGATATATATACCTCCATTTTTTATACATACACTCCCTTTTAAAAAAAAAATTAAATTCCTAAAATATCCTTAACATTATTTGGAATAAAAAAAATTATTCTGGAAAGTGTTTTTCAAAGGTTGATGATATATACACCTCCTTTTTCCTATAAGTACACCTTTTTTTAAAAAAAAAATTAAAATTTTAAAATATTCTTAATTTTTTGTTTTTCTTTTTTTAATTTT